ATGGCGAGTATGGGCAGCCCGGACGAATTCTTACGACACCCCGCCCCGAAGTTTTGGGGCTCCCCACACACCTCCCTCCCCTCTCCCCCTCGGAAAATCGCGTTCCCCATATTCGGACCCCCCTTGAGAACAATTCAGGGGGATCCCAAAAATTCAGGAGAGAGTTCCTAAGTGCCTCTGGGGGGTCCCCAGGCGTCTGTCGGGGGGTCCCAAGGAGGGGAACCAGATGTTCCTTAGGCGGCAGTGGGGGGGACGTGTTTGGGGAGCCCCAAAAACCCAGGGGGAGTCATAGAAAATCGTGGTAAATGAGATAACGTCAATCCCCCGATTTTGCGTGCTGAAGTTAGTGCAGCAGTAGTAGAAGCTACCAACATATATACAAAATACTTGCTGAGGTAATTAGACAGGCAAGGCCTAATAAGTTTTAATTGATTAATGATGAATGGTGAGTTTTATTTTACAATTTTCCCCCTCTTTTCTCTCACTACAGTATCTTTTACTAGCATCCAAGTTCTACTTGTAGAATACTTGTAGAATACTTGTGTAGCATTCTACTACACCAAGAAATAACAACATTAAATACAAAATACTTGCTGAGGTAATTAGACAGGCAAGGCCTAATAAGTTTTAATTGATTAATGATGAATGGTGAGTTTTATTTTACAATTTTCCCCCTCTTTTCTCTCACTACAGTATCTTTTACTAGCATCCAAGTTCTACTTGTAGAATACTTGTAGAATACTTGTGTAGCATTCTACTACACCAAGAAATAACAACATTAAAAAAAAAAAATGTACTTTAACGGGTACTGGAAACATGCTTTCAAAATACAAAGACTTTTAAAAGGTCAATCTGTGCAGTCAAAAGCTATCCATGCACAGAACAACAAATGCAAGCTGTCATTTAAGATGTATTTATTACAAGAAAGTGTGATGGGCAGTTTTATTGCATATTCCTGAAATATTTTGCTTTGCAGCAGTATATTTAAAGCATTTAAACCCAAATTGTGAATGCACCTCATAAGATTATCATACGTTATTTTTTTATTTAGCTAGCATCTCATCTTATTTATACCTCAGCTTCTCTGTGATGTTGTAGTTTTGCAATCAGGTCTTTCAAAAATGAAACGGTGCTTCGGAAAGCTTTTCTTTCCTCAAGCCAAGACCCTGGCTCTTGCTTAAGAGGTGGCATCTCTCTCTCACCACATGGAAATTCAGTGAGGGACAGCACCCGTGTGCCTTCCTGGTGGACTGCTCTCAGCCAACCCTACAAGAGAGACAAAAAGAAATCAGTAGCACCAGTCCTAACAACAACAGCAACAACAACAATCATCATCTTACTTCATGCATATTGGAATACTGATACTTGTGAATTGATCAGCATGAGGAAGCTATTTCTGCGTCCTCAAAGACAGAAGCGTCACCCAGTTCTGTATCTGCCAAACAGCAGAACTTATTCAAGAGATGGATTTTTCTTCAGTTTCAAATGAAAATTCCTAAAGTTCATCTGTCAAATCAAATTTTGAAGTGGTTGCTGATGAAAACCCACATTTAAAAACAAAGTCCTGGGAAACTTCCATGTGAGCTTTGCAATTCACTTTTTCGAGTTACTATTAAGATAGGGCTTTGCTGCAAAAGACTTGCTTTTTATGTTTTTTTTAAATGTAATTAAAAGGACGATACCCTTACTGTTAATAATAAACACATTTGTTTACTGTCCTAATATAGATATAAATTATACACCCATAATAACAGAATCTTCGTGATTGTGTAATATGTGATCATTACATTATCACCAATACACAATAACTATACAAAATTATAATTAACAATTAACAGCTCCGCTCAAAAGACGGCACAGCCTGCCAAAGCTGGAGCCATCCTGACACTTCAGATCCCTCTTCAGACTGACTGATGCCGCCTGGAACACCTACTCAGACTAACAGTGAACCTCTGACCGGTGCAGGGAAATGCCTGGCCCCTTCCTCCCAGTGCGGTGCAGGGAGTTCACCCTGAGAGGGGCAGGACCAGGCTCTGCCGTGACCAGAATGATGCTGAGGGACCCAGAGCTGCCGCTACAGCCCTGGCGCTGCTGCTGCTCCTCTCACTCAGTCAATGCAGCTGAGAGGGAAGGGTAAAACCTTGAGGAATACAGGGCGCAACAAAGAAAAAAGCTCGATCATTCACTTTATGCTGAGAAGGTGTGCCTGTCTCTATACATTCAATAAAAATACTTTTACCATAAAAGTGTCTGGCTTTGGCACTAATTGAGCTTGCACAGCTGTGCACTGATACCATCGCACTGTCCATCTCCAAAACACACAGTTATCACTTGACTACGGGGTTTTTTTGTGCGTTACCCAATGAGGAATAGTTTTTGAGTATTTCTATAAGATATTGTAAGAAGCTTGCATCATGAAAATAAAGTCTGCTTCTTCTGAATATCTGCATTCTAACAAACAGTTTCTTCCCTCTTTTAGTACAAAATTATTTTCACGGTATCATTTAACTAGTAATCTCCCAGAAAGAGAATATTATGCTTTCAGGAAGAGAAAATAAGCAGAGGGAAGTAAGCTTTGCGTGGGCATAACATGCTCCAGAACAGACCCTATTTATGTTAACTTTCAAGTCCACACTACAAGGACCTTAGGAAAAATGCAGATGCACATTGCAGACGTACCTTGTACTCGCGGAGCGCCCCAGATCCTCTCCATCTGTACTGTGCTGTCGCAGCAGAAGAAAGGGCGACCCCGGAGAAACAGTGGCAGTTGACATTCTGCCGAGAAAGGAAAAAACCCTTTAGCATAAAGCTGGGCAGGAATCTAAACCTTCCTTCTTTTGTGACAGTTTGCAAAGACCACAGCCAAGTGGAGGAAAAACTATTTGGCATCATCTCTGGCACAGCTGCGGATATGGGCCGCTAGAGCTTTTGCATTTTTAAGACAACCCTGCCTTTTTTTGACTCAGTGGCAGCTTCAGTTTCACTAGAGCCACCTTCCCAGATACACGCAGGTAACAGGCACAGATGCCTACCTACCTTTTCTCAAGCCTACGTAGAGACAAGGTTTCCTCACCCTATACATCCCAAGTTGAATATTGTTGTTAAAAGGTACAGCAATCCACCTGTCCTTGTAAACTGCCTCCTTGCAAAAAAGGAATTTTTTCCATGCCATTTCTCCCAACAGTCAAGATCTTTTCAAACTGCTGTCGCACCACCAAACCTGCTCAGGGTCCCTCCCAGCTTTTGACTGCCCTCAGATTTACCAGGCGCACGCTCTGTTCTGTCTCCCAACAGCAAAAGCACAGCAGCTCCCAGAGCAGAGCACAGCCCCACGGGTGCCCACACACACCCTGCTGTTTGATGGGAAGCCCCCGAGTGCAGCTGTGGGCCCAAGGGCAGCTTCACCCACACCCATTTCAGGGGATGTGGCTTCTGAAGCTGTAAACTGAACACCCCATCTTGACACTTGGCCACAGCAGGAGTAATCCACAATGAGAGCTCCACAAAAACCCAATAACACTAATTGCAAACCCAACCCACAGCAGCAGCTGCAGAGATAGCTAGACCGGGAACAAGGGAGAAGTTAAAACAGCTTCATCTGGTGCACAGGAAAGCAGCAGATGGAGAAAAGGGTCAGCGTTCATGGCCCTTACAGAAAACAGGCATTCTCCTTCCGTTCCTAAACCCGTCTGTTAGGTCTAAATATTGCAGCCCAACTGTGGCCATACCGAGAGCAGAGAACAACAGCCCTGCCGCCAGTCATTTATAGAGCAGGACACAGACAGAGGGACTTCTTTTGCCACACACAACCCTGTATTTCCTGAAAATTTATTTTTACCAAAAATAGCCACTTGGAACATACTGCCAAACAACATTTGGGAATTGTGTGCATTTAACACACACAATTTTTTGGGAATTTGCAATTTGCTTCCTGCTATTGTTGTTCTTTCTACTTTCTACTGGTTCAAGCATTTACCTTCTTGCTATTACCAGCACATTTCCACAGTCAAGTCACTTAACTACTCTGCTAAAATGATCCAAATGAAAGTTACAGCCATGGAAGAGGAGTGAAAAAAGAGATGAGAGATCAGGCAGGAAAAGAGCTCTGCAGGCTGCCACCTGCAGTCAGCCTCACACCCTGTTTTGGAAACCACACATCCACCCACCCCTAGAAAACAAACAAACGAAGAGACAAAAACCCTGACACCTGGAGCTCATCCCTGTCTCGGGCACACTGTCTTGTCAGAGCAGGAAGCGCAGACTATCTGTATCCCAAGGACACCTGCACAGGATTAACACGTGTCCAGAAGTAGTCCCCATCTTTAAGAGCATGTCGCTTTTGTGCTTTTAATAGTCGTAACTTGATGGTAGTCACTGGCACGTCTGGGAGGAAAATCATTCACTTTGCAATGAAGCCTCTCCTTGGGGGAAAAAAAAACGTGTTAGAGACTGAAAAAAAATTGAGAGTCAGAGCTCCCACCCGCGAGGGAGCTGTGAGGGCATCAACAACAGCGAAGACCAACAGCAGCTACATTGGCAGAAATTTGGCTTTCACCCTGATCACGTCCTTAGGAGACCCTCCCAGTCTACACCTCAGGCCTACGAAGGACCAGTCCTTTCATGGAACGACAAACTCCATTCTTTTTACTTAAAAGGCCTAGACTGAAGGCTCCTTGGAACAATGTGGACTGAGCCATAGAAAAACATGCCATTGCTACTCGAATTAAAAAAAAAAAAAAACAGAATAAAAATCAAGTGACGCATCCGTTTCCGTTGTGTTTCATTCACTACATTTCTACTGGCATCTAGGTGCTCAAAAATCAACTGCACTGACACCACATACTAATAAAAATTGAGTTATGAATCCAAAGTAAAAAACTGTTGCCAAGTTGCCCGTAAAATTAGTAGGAACAAACAGAAGAGAAACACTTGAGCCCAATGAAGGTAACGGGCAGGAGGCAAAAGTTTGTTCTTTTACCCCAAAGGAAGCCATTCCTAACTACCGAGGGCCCGATTCCATTAACTGCAATTCCTCATCAGCTTTTCCTCACTGGCAGCAAACTGGCCTTTTCCTCCCAAACTTCAGGAGCCAATGTGACCAGACCCTCTGTCTCCGGGGAGCCTCCCCGCAGCCCACCCAGCCCCTGCTTTCCCC